AAGCTAACGTATCATAAATGAGCAAAAAATTTTTTTTTTACGATTTTGAAGCGTAAGATGATTATTGAAATGAAACCGTGAACTAACGAAATTAAATGTTGATTCTTCATAACCGTTTCATTTCAATAATCAACATCATTAATTGAAAATAAATGAGCAAAATAAATTTTTTTTACGATTTTGAAGCGTAAGATGATTATTGAAATGAAACCATGAACTAACGAAATTAAATGTTGATTCTTCATAACGGTTTCATTTCAATAATCAACATCATTAATTGAAAATAAATGAGCAAAAAAAATTTTTTTTTTACGATTTTGAAGCGTAAGATGATTATTGAAATGAAACCGTGAACTAACGAAATTAAATGTTGATTCTTCATAACGGTTTCATTTCAACGGCTAACGGTTTCATTTCAATAATCAACATCATTAATTGAAAATAAATGAGGAAATAATTTTTTTTTTCGATTTTGAAGCTTAAGTTGTTGTTATTTCATAACGGTTTCATTTCAACGGCTAACGGTTTCATTTCAATAATCAACATCATTAATTGGAAATAAATGAGGAAATAATTTTTTTTTTCGATTTTGAAGCGTAAGTTGTTGTTATTTCATAACGGTTTCATTTCAACGGCTAACGGTTTCATTTCAATAATCAGCATCATTAATTGTTAATAAATGTGGAAATAATTTTTTTTTACGATTTTGAAGCTTACGATGATTATTGAAATTAAATGTTGATTCTGATTTAAAAAACAACAAAATTTTTTTATTGTTGAATTTGGCTGATTTAAATTGAAATTTGATTCGATATACTAATCTAATTTTTAAGTACATATTTTTTTTTTCATTATCCGTTCAATATATCGCACCCCAGCAAAAAAAGTGACACAAGTAAAAAAAACAGCAATTTTGAGGGTTATGTCAATAAAAAATATGCATGAAGTGTCCCATCAAGCTCATAAAGTATCTCGTCTTTAGATTGTACTCAAGATTTTACAATTTCAGAATAAGTTTTATAGTATTCTTTAAATTGATTTCTCTCAAATGCTGTTTTTTGACTTGTGTCACTTTTCTTACCGGATTGCGATATGTTAACATATAATATAATAAAATAAAAGGATCTCCTTGAATAACCTTTGATCTGATGATCGGATTTACACGTTCTTAACTTCAATTTTAATAACTCTAGAGGGTGATCTCAAATATGCTAGTTAATTAGTGCCTATAAGTTAAGAAATCAGACACAAAAACGTAGGTTCATAAAGGTAGGTGAATAAACATACTTTTTTTTCGGCGGATTCAATAGCAGTTATTGCAGATTATATATATATATATACACTAAATATATGAATACACTTAATGTTTAACGTAATAACCATTCCATAAACAAATGATATATTTGTTATGGAATACCAATTAAATATTTTAAAGTTATTTTTCAAAAGAATATTAGTCATAGCCTATTTAAAATGTATCACCAAATTTAACCAAATTACCAACGACTTACATTTTATAATTCCACCAAAAATCCTTCTTAAAATTACAATTATTTAATTGTGCTTGAGTATGCTTTAAATGAAAATTAACAGTTGCCATATCACTTATTCGTAAGTACTACCTAAAATTTTAAATACTTATTGAAATTTTAAAGGACATAAATAAAAATACTTTTATTCGTAGTAAAGTTTTTATTCCGAAACTGAAATGTACAATTTTAACACAAGTTTATGAAACCAACGTAAACAGAAAATCGGAAGTGTATTTTGATAACAATCAACACTGAATTTGATTCAGCGAATTTATATACTCTGAATACTTTAAACATCTAATAAGTAGTTTCTCTGGTCATTCTTTTAAAAAGTGTGAATTATTTTTCAAAATTATATAATTTATTATAGCGAAAATATAAATAAATTTTAGAATTTATTGTTACATAAAATTTATCACTACATAGTTAATTACTAACAATATTCAAAAGTAAAGAATTGTTGCCAAAAATTAAGAATTTTAAATAAAATTCACACTAGCGTTATGAAATACAAACTTTTGGATTTTTCAAATTAGGACATTAGTATATTCATACTAATTGCACTGTAAAATAATGCCGTCTTTTGGGTTTTTCCAATTCTAAAAATTAGTTTCCGTATAAATAACACTAGAAAAATTACACACTCTTTTGGGTTTTTTAAAAATTAGTTTTTAAATTAATCACATTTAATTGAGTATTAATCACTATATCAATCATATTAGCAAATAATACACACCTTTTGATTTTCTAATTTGATAATCAGTATCAATAGTAATTATACAATAAATAATACACACTTTTGGGTTTTGATTGAATTCTGAGAATTAGTTTCCATAAAAATCCTTCTATAAAAAATAACACACAACTTTGGATTTTAAAAATTTTTTCAAATTAGTTTTCATATTAATCACACTTATATATGGTTCTCTAACTTTGAGAATCTCCATATCAATCGTGTAACAAAATACACACTTTAGATTTTTCCAAATTTGACATTCAGTATACAATAAAATGATGTACCCTTTTCGGATTTCCAAATCTGCGCAATATTTTCTATATCAATCACACTTAAAATCGAATATTCAATTTTGTGATCTAGTCCTTATATCAATCATGTTATGAAATAATACGTATTTTTGGATTTCCTACAATTTTACGAATTAGCTAATTAGTTTCTTTTATTAATCACACTATAAAACAGTGCACACACCTGCTTATAGGATATCTAAAAGCAAGTGTGCCATAGCACACCTGGTGATATCCTAATTCTTGGAGTTATCCTAAACCTGTTAATAGGATTAGGATACCTCCAACTTTTAGAAGTTGGCTTAATTAGTTTCAATTTGAAGGAATTAGATTCTATTTCAATCATATCAATATCAATCTATTTCTATATCAATCTATGTTGGTATCAATGCATAAAATAGTGAATACATTTGGATTTCCTCCATTTTAGATTAAATTTTCAAGCAAATATATTATAAAATAAAACATACTTATCGATTTTCAAACTCTGATAATCAGTATTCATATTCGTAACACTAGGAAATAGCACACAAACTTTTGGCTTCTTTAAACACAAACATTTTGAATAACTTATTATAACCTTATAGTTAAAAATAATTTTAACTTATAGTTTATTAGTGAGTATTTACGTGTAAACGCATCAATGACAATGCGATGTCAGCATCGCTTTTTACAAATTCTCCGAAAGATTCCGTATTTATTACACTTTTGAAGTTCATATTAATGAATTTCATAATCTCTTCTTTAAAGGATACATCACCATGGCGATTGGCCAAAATAAGCATTTGACACGCATTACCCACTTGTAATTGGTCGAGCAAATCACTCCTACAAGCATCTCGGAGACTCAACACTTCGTATTTGTCAGCTGCGTAGTACAGATCGCATGCCTCCTCAAAATCATGATCTTCCTTTGTGCCGGAGTATAGAAATGATACCAGTTCCTCCATAATTGGCGCTCGTATGTCTTCTATATTTATTACGCTGTTATCACGTTCGCTGGTATCGTGTTCAAACATCTTGTTGAACACAGGAGATCTTGCCCGCAGTACTACCTTGTTGGCTTTGATGTTGACACCGTCAACTTTCAAGGTGACATCCGTCTCGGTAGCTTGGTCCAGAATTTTCTTAAAATCCACAGATAGCTTTCGTAGGCACTGTAATTCCACTTCTTGATTTTTAGATTTTTCAGCATACGGAAATTCCAAGTGGCAGGTGATAGATAAAGGGTATTTTAATGAACTGTTTCGGTCAACAAAGCCTACAAGTAAATCGCTTTCGTTTACAGAACGTTTTAATATCTGAGCAGTACCTGCTCTGGAATGACGATAAACTCCATCACCGTCAGCTACGAAGATGCTGAAGCCCAGTAACATGTTTTGTTTTTTACCATGCAAGAGTAAAGCTAACGTATCATCTCGCGCTAATATGCAGTATTCAAGGACATATGCCTCGGTGGCTGTCACAAAAAATTTTTTACTCAAAATACTTGTATGTTCAATATCCGATTTTTCAATTTTCATCTCAATTTCGATAAGATTTCTAGATGTATCTAGAAGACGTGAAATCTTTTTAAAAACAGATGACATTATGAACGAAATGTTAGCAATTTCACAAATATTTAGATTGATTGTAGATTGTAGAAGAGTGCGACGAGGTCTGTGCAGCAGCTTATCAAGAATGTTTAAGTTTCTCTACGCTTTCTTTTTTAATACAATTGATAACAGTTATCTTTTGATTGGAAAGAACCGCATATCTAATCTTTAACATTAAATCTAACTGTTTACGTGGCTAGTTAAGATAGTGCTAATTTTATTATTTTAATACTTCATTTGCTGGAAACTTTCAAAATGATTGGATTGGATATTGTTTTTAACTCGGTATTTGGGGCGAAACGTCACCAACCGATTCATCTGCCCTGTGTAGACACATACTATAAAGTTATGAATATTAATAATCTTATACTGAATGGAATGCTACCTATAAATTTGTGTCCATCAGGAATCGAAATCAGGTACTTTCAGATGCGATGAAAGTGCTCTTTTTAAATTAGAGAATTCAGCAGCAAATTATATTTTTCACTTATTTATAAGTAGTGTTAGTTTTTCTGCATTATTTTTTCAAAAGAAAATATTAAAAAAATACTTGCTTAATATCTTTTCCGTAAGCATCAGTCTCGTCTTTGTTATATTGCACCTGTCGGTAAGCAGGAATGAAAACGCAACATGTGCAATGTAAAGGCAGTCATCGTATAATAACAGAATTTAATTACGTATATATTAATAGTTCTATTTCTTCAATAAAATATTCATTAACAATTTAAAGGCTACCAAGTTGTTGTTGTAGTTCATTTACGTTGTTCTAGAGCTGCACAATGGGCTATTGGCAAATGTCTGGGAATCATCCCTGAGGATGATACGAAGATATGCCGTCGCAATTTTGATCCTCTGCAGAGGGAATGGCACCCCTGCTTTGGTAGCCCGACGACGTGCACGCGAAGTCTAGCATTTTACGGTAGAACAGTTTAACGAGAACACATACCGTACACCCTTGGCTCCTACGCAGACTAATCGAAGTGGTCACCCAGTCGCACACTGACCGCAGCCAGTGATGCTTGACTTCGGTTATCTGCTGGGAATCATGTCTTAACTATCAGTGCACTGCGGGGCCCGAATCTGAGATAGATAGTGCTCTTGTTCAAATCAAAAATTACTCTCTGTGGTTGGATGGCGTGTGAATGCATCCTCTCTGTAAAACGGTGTGTGACGTATTCATGTTATATCCGGATGATCCTCATGGATGTTTCCAAGACCATCGTTAATTCCCATTGTGCAGCTGTAATGTGACGTAAATGAAATTACCATACCGTACTTTTTTTAGATCGCTATGAATTTCACATTGTTGAGATTACGAAAAAAGTCATCATGACCGAATAATGGCCCTTAAACTGAAAGAAGAAAAAAAATAGTGTAGGAATAACAGGCAATTGTCATTTTTTTCCTGAGGGAAAGAAAACGCCAGTGTAAGTTAGTACTGGACGAGTATAAACTAAACAATAATCCTTTACTTTACACCTTTAGATCCAGAGAAAAAAGCTCATTCCCAGATCCGTACGCCCCCCTCGAGAGTATCAAATTAAAATTACGTATGTGTGATCATGGGCCGCTGGAGTTGGAAAGGCTCGTTTTATGTATACCGTGGTTGGGAGAATCCGCATAAGGAGTCTTTACCTTACGCAACAATTATATGCATATTTTCTGGGTGGGGTTCAAAATTTTAAGACTACAAAGGAGAACATCGATATTCTTCAATTGTATTTTTATCATATGTTTGGAGCCGGTAAAAAAATTAAGTAAAACAATTACACTTTTTTTTTTAAATTTCTGTTTGTGGAATTTTAAGGTTGTAAGTTCGTACATCTATATAAGATGTTTGTTGTGGAACTGACCCCGATCGATATACTAGGTTCGCTGACTGTGTGGTGTAACCAATCGATAAAATAGCTTTGATTATCTAAGAGCGGACGAATCTTCTAAACCGAAATCTAACCTGATCTGAACTATTAAATGATACTGTATTAATAATCTTAAAAAGCTTCTCTTTATTAGAGCACGTCTAGAGTTCTAATAGTCTTGTGGTGAACTGATTGCAAAGACACTGTTCCCAGTTTAACACAGGAGTGAAGTTCCACTGGATACGGTCAGTGAGCTAGTGGATGACCAATTTGATCAGCCTAAATAGGGACCAAGGACGTGCGGTATTGGTCATATTTAAGCCGTTTTACCACAGAGAGCTCCACTTCGCTCGCGCGTCATGAGGTTACCAAAGCGGAGCAGGAATTCCCTCCACAAAAGATTAAAATTGTTATGGCATGTTTTCGGTTTAGGCTTAGAGATAGACCGTCGAAAATAGTCTATGAGTCGTGGTGGCTCAGAGGATAGAGCGCTCGCCTTCCAATGAGATGATGAATCCTACCGATGGTTATTCGATACGAATTATGCACTTGGTTCGTACCGACCTCAGTGCTGAAGAAAAATATCCTCAGTGGTAGACGGATAATGGGTTAGTGGTACGTTTTCGTGGTTTTCCTCTCCATGCGGGTTAGTTCCATTAAAATTCCTCAACGAAGGCAATTTTTTCTCAATATCTGATCCTGGAGCTCCCTTGTCTTCTGGATTAGGTTCAAAATGATAAGGTTACAGAGTTGAACATTGGTAGAAGTAAACTCAAACTTCGATCGTCTGTTCAAGAAAGGTTACAGAACTACAAAAAGAAGCCCATTGTGAAGCTCTAGTGTGATATAATTAACTACTTGAATTCTAATGACTTCTGTCATTGTTACGAGTGTATTTGTCTAGATTTTATTAAAAGTTAAGTTTTCATTCACATAGTTTTCAATTTTAATCTTTGGTGTTAAAGATGCATCTCAAAATGCCATTTCAGCACGTACGAATTTAGTTTTAATGTTATTACAAGCTTTGAGAAAGTTTTAAAACTACAACATTTACAGAAGCATCCTTTAATCGACACACTTTTGCTTTTGGGTTTCTGTTTTCCTTTTTAATTTCCTGGAACAGAAATTTTTTAAAGGAAATCAATCCGTTTTGTTCAGAACAAAAGACTGAAAAAAAATAGCGATAGAATAAGAAGCTACCATGAATATTTCATGCATGACTATTTTTATCTATTTTGTGAAGCCCGAGCTATTTCGTTTTTACTTTAGGGCACTTAATTCACTATTTTCCTCATAGATGTCATTAGTAGTCCTGGTTTTTCGCCGATTACGACTTCAGTCGTTGGAGGGAAATGTGGGTGGGAGTTTTGGGATATATCATACTGTGAAAGTTTCATAAAACTTATGTATTGAAAATCATATTGCTGTATTTTTATATTATATTATACTAGTTATTTACCTTCAAAATTCTGTTTCATTCGCTTTAATTTAATAAGATGTGTGTGTAAACCATTGCTTTTTAATGTGTGTATAAAAACTATAAATACAGTAGTTAGTGCATTTAAAATTTTATTTTTGTAATAAAAAACCATTCTCCAACTTTTATAATAATATGAAGAACTAAATTTTGCATTAAAATTTCTTTTTCTAACTTTTGTAACAATATTAAGTTAAACATTCAAAAAAATTTTGCATTTTTAGTCCATTTTTCTGAAGTATATGTCACTGTTAAGGGCTTAAGTAAATATAGCGAAAACATGGTAACGCTTAACTGCAGGTCGGGTTACGCGTCAATTACATTTAAAGACACTAAGTTCCCCAAACAAACATTCAGCAATATAGTATGGAAATATATGCATAAAGTGTAAGTATATGTGTAAGAAAAATATATGTATTATTTTCAAAATAATTTATTCTTTCAGCATTAAATATCATTGGAATATGAGTCAAATCAAATTAATTAACACTAACCAGAATTTTTAACATAAATATGACATGACTTTGAATCGATCTACATTGAGTTATGCTACTGAAGTATTGCATGAACGATAGTTTCTAAATATCACAATTCTTTCAGCATTAGATAGTCTTTAAGTTTTTGAGGCAAATCAATAAAATCATAATTGATTGGAAATCTCAGATGAGATCGGATGGCACATCTTGACAAATGCTGGAGACATCTCGGAGATCTTACTTGCTTTTCACTTTTGGAGATGGCATTGCAATACCACAGATGAACTTTCTCCGCATAGTCAGAAATTGATATTGATGATGATGTTGATAATCTCCAAAATTCGTATCCACCATTATTGGCCATATGAGAAAAGCATGCAAATATATCATCTTCTGTAATATAAGGTTCAGATATGGAGTCCCAGATGGCTTGTAGCATTTCATCTACGTAGCTTCCAAAGCGATGGTTTCCTTTATAAAAGTATAAGTAAAATAGTTGAAGGCAATAGTATTCGCATCTTTGACTGATAACTTCACTAGAATGTATTCGTCCCATTCTGAAATAAGTAGATAAATTAAAATATTCACAAGTGCAAAGAATTAAGGTGATAACGTTACTGCACTTAAAATAGAGGCCCCTGAAAAATGTTATTAGAACAAATTTCGTCCTTTTCAACTTATACTGCAAGCGTTCATGCATGCATTTTCCGTGCAAGTTCTGTAGTAATCCGAAATTGCATTCTGGTAACGAGCTGTGTAGAGCTTAAGCACGTAAACGGGCTGGATGCAGGATAATAATTATTAATCTCTTTAGCATTTATTATCTAGTATGCTCACTTTTTTATCTAATACACTCTCCAGTATATAGTTCATAAAATATTTTATGACATTTTATTGCAAAATTTTATCTATTAAAGAAAAAAAAAACACAGATGCGATAGAGAGACACGATAGAAGAGTGTAGTGAGATATAAGAACACGATAGAAGAGTGTAGTGCGATAGAGAGAGACGATAACAGAGTGTAGTGCGATAGAGAGAGACGATAGAAGAGTGTAGTGCAGGGGTGTCAAACTCAAAAGCAAACTTGGGCCACATGAACAAAGCTTAACTTTAGGTGGGCCTCAAAAAAAAGTTTTAAAAAAATCAGTGTTTACAGAAACAAATATTTTTATTTTGAATGGTACATTGTAATAAGCATATATAAAGTAAAATTATTGTTGGTTATTTGACAACTCTTCTCTGCTACTATCTTTCCTATTTCGGGAGAAATTTTATTGGCCGAGACTTCTTTCAAAATTGACCCAACGAGAGCTATTAATATGGTTTCGGACAGGAGATTTATTTTCATTCATAACAGAAAAAAATTGCTCGCACTGATATGATTCATATGATAGTCGCTTCCAAACATGGAAATAATTTCATATGCGAATTTTCAAGTATTTTCACACCTTGCCGGTAAATATTTGTAAAATTCAGGCACACCCACTTCAATAAATTTTGTCTTCAAATTTGAGTCGCACTAAATCTCAATGACTTCCATTTGCATATTACTGGGTACTGAGTCTCGCAGGCAGCGACTTTGACACCCCTGGTGTAGTGCGATAGAGAGAGACGATAGAAGAGTGTAATGCGATAGAAGAGTGCAGTGAGATAGAGAGACACGATAGAAGAGTATAATGCGATTGAGACACGCTATGGAAGAACGTCTAAAAACACGATATAATGGGGTAAGGAGCTTATGTTGTATTAAAACTGAAACAAAATCGATAAGACAATCGCTTATCTCGCTACCTCCCAGCATTCTCGTTTTATCTTATTTTCTTGTATATCCGGCGTTGAACAGCAGATCTATATGCGAGTTTAAGACTTTTGATACTCAACTCTGTACCTTATAATTTTATACCCAACCCAAAATACAAGTTAACAATTGGATCAACCATCGACTCGAACAAGCCTTTGTGGGGGGGACTCTTGGGTGAAACTAACCCGTATTTGCTTTACAAATACGGAAACTTCACCTTTAGCTTGATAGCAATCTAACATATCATCTATTTACCACCGAAGATATGTTGCGTCAACTCTGTAGTAACATAATGAAATGTATAACCAATTTGGACGTTCATCTGCTACTACTATCAAATTTTCACATCATTGCAATATAAAAAACCGGGCATTAACCCATTAGTGTAGGACTATAAAAAGTGGTTTATATATGAAAAACAGCTGTGTGAAGAAAGGGCGCTACGTATTTGTTCGTAACAAGTGGATTTTTTTCTTTTATCGACCAATTAATTAAAAAAAAAACTAAGTTCATTTTTTCGAATAAGCCGCTCTTTTGTTTCGGAACAGATAAGATAGTACAAGTTAGAGAAGATCATCATGAAGATATATCCAGAGTTATGGCGGGATACGAACTCGCTACCTCCACGTTACAGAGCGTTTACCTGGTGAGATTATTCGACTGGGAAAGCCACAACACTGTGTTCATTTTTCAAATATAAATATTTATATTATAATCGTATGTTATGCAAACCTATCTTGCATAACCCTTTAAAACCTGACTCAATTTGAATGCACTACTTTTAAAAAAAGTGTTAAGCAAGTTGTTTTATTATGAATCTAAGAACTAAACGATTAATGCACACGAAATGCCTCATCAAATTTAATATCTAATTTTAAGTTCGTAATGTAGAAGCTATGATATAGAGGTAGCTAAGAGAATAAAATTTTTACTCAGTTTAAACTTAGTTTAAAATTAATAAATAGTATTAGTAGGTTCTAGTTGGGTTGATATCTAACCCGCACAATCACTTAATGCGAAATAAATTCTAACAATGAAACACGCGTGATTATTTATTCCTTTTTAAGCAAAGTAGCCGTACTTTATGACTATCCTAAGAAAAAGCGGGCTAAAAATAAGCAAAAAGCAGGTCACGACACATATGTAGTGAGCTTGTGTTCGTTTACCAATATCATAAACAAAACCACATTAATGTCTGTTTTATGCTGATTAGTGGCAGAGACAGCCTGGTTGGCAGGGCGCTGGACTCACGTTCGTGTACAGACTGCAGTAAATGGTGACTGATTCACATTAAATATGTCGGGTTACAAAGTCGAAATACGAACTGATACTGAAATAAACAGAGTAAGATGCGTTTCTCATACTTCAATATTATAATTAGAATGAAGTAATATTATTTTATTATTACAGGGTTGTTCCTTAGTCAGAAAATATAAAAAAATAGATTAGTAAAATTTTTTTTTAACCTGTATTTTTTCTGAGGTAAATTGTTTACGATTACCTATTCTTTTTCTTGTTTATAATAAGTGAAATTTCCCTCAAGTGAACCAACATTACAACCATTATTAATTCGCGGCACTCATGAGTTTTTCATTCTTTCAGTAAACAAATAAAAATATAAAGGTTTTACTAAGAGTTTTTCTTCATCTTTTCTGGGTAAGTTCTAGAATTGCTATTAACAAAATTAAACATACCGCCACATGTCCACTGAAATCCACCATTTTAATTCTGGAACACGTTCTTGAGAATATCCATAAGTTGCACCCTGTTCCAATAAAAAACGGAAATTCATTGATGATCTATAAAACAAACAGTCTAAGCATCTGTCTACAAATTTCTAACGATATGGGAAGGTTTCTGCCAGAAGATTCTCAAACATATCTAAATAACAGATCATTGTTTGGCAAACATCGTCTGCAGATTTGCTGTCTGCAATTGGAGAGAGGTTTACCGCATTCGAACAAAATTTGAAAGCTGAGGACATAAACATAGAACACTCACTCTCATAGTGGTAGGCCAGCAACAACTTTACACACCATCTTAATCTTTCTGTGGACGGTATCCTCATTAGTGCTTCTTTTAGAGGCGAGGACATCCAACCTCTGTATTCATCAAAAGGAAGAATTAATTTGCTTTCATCGATCTGCCATTTTCTGGAATACTTTGATTGATCTGAAATTACATCTGCATAGTGACCGTTTACTACGGCATGGACGTGCGCGTTTGAAACGTTAGAAAGAGTTGGAAAGTTTTCCACGTGCTTGTTAAATTCTCGTTCCCATATATTATATTTCTCAGAATCTTGATGGTCCTGCTTAGATGTGAAAACGTTTTTCACATGCCAAAAAAGATATTCGAATGCAGAATAATGATATGCATTCTGAGAATCTTGGGTGTTCGATGATCCTCTTCTTTCTTGGCAAAATTGTTTCACATGCATAAAGATCTCTTTGTAGTCTGAAAGAAATTTCGTTTTCTGATATTCCAGAGAGTCTTGCAAAGCATTAAGATGGTGTATGGAACGTTGGAATGCTGCGTACACTAGGAAAATGTCCCCTTGATTGATTCTGTAAGGATTAGGCCTCACACAATAATCTGCCATTATGAGATACCTAAAACAAAATCGCGTAACTTTTGAAACAGTGAATGATTCGAGTATTGGTTCAAGCAAAGAATTGAACAAAAATCACTATTCATTGGACAATTATCAGCTTTCTGTAAATTGAAAAAAGAGTTACAATCAATTGTTGCAGTTAGGTTGTAAAAAAATAATTGTAAAGCAATCTTGCAGCATGAAAAGTGGATTTAATATATAGAACAGTCAACTATTTTTGACTATCACTTTAGTTCAGATATGCTAATTGCTCCGTATTCAACAAAAGATTTAATGAAATGATACTCGATAAAATATTAAAACTTTTGAGAAGTTGTGGCGTATAACTACCACTATAAATATTAAATACCAATCAACTAGTATATAAGATATGCTAAATAGGTACAATCGTACTACTATTTCAACATTCAAAAGGTACCTCATATTAAATAAATTAACATGTATTATATACTTCGCAGACCTTCCAACTTTTAATCCGTGCGAGGATGGTATTTCCCATAGTAGTAAAATGAAATGTAAAGTACAATTTTAGGCAGAAGCATACGTTGTATTATGTGATAACGCAATAGAGTTCCATATTAATATTCCATTATAGTTCCATTCCGCGGAATAACGCAATAACTAACTAACTAATCATATTTTACTGAGTGCCTATCCCCTAGGGGATATCTGCTCTTTCATCGCATTGAAATAAATAATGGGTGGGGCGGAAAAAGGGGGGTGCCTAGTCACTAATGACAGTATATTAAAACAAAGAAAACAGTGTATAATCTGGGTTAAGTACGTAGGTATAAATTTTACTAGCACTTTAAATATGGTAATATAATTCCACGCTAATTGCGTAATAGTTGGCAGTTATATACTAGTGAATTTTTATTTAATATTTATAGTGATAGTTACGCCACAAATTAGTCAATTTCGCTTGATGTTGCCAAGGCTCATCCGTTCACTGAATTAGATATACTAAGTTGAAATTTGACGTACTGACAGAGCCATTTGTGAATTTTAAGCGAGTTTTTTTAAGAAATTTTATTTTGATCGAAACTTATCAAAAATTTAAGTGCTTCTTTGGAGAGATGTTTCTTAATGTTTTCTTTCAATAATAATCATATATCATGAAATCATCAACTTAAGAAAGTGGCCGAAAACGTTACAATGAAGAATTGGTTTACATACATCTCTTAAACTGCACGAAATTAGTTTTATTTTTCGTATTAAACGATACAATCATAATTGTTTTCCACGGTAATGAGGCGAGAAAACTATTTTCCCTCGTCTTAATGAAAATTTTAAGCATCTTCACGATCTAGGACTCAATCTTAATGGTTTGAGAGGGTGACTATGCTAATTAATTAATGCAGGCGATATTTTAAGTTACAGACGCAAAAACGTACTGTATAGTTGCTGTGAAATCGAATTTAAAATAAAATCAGACATTTACATTTCGATTTCTCATGAAAAATTCGACTGATTTCGCACCGATTTTTTCGAGCATCAGACATAAATCTTATTAACGCCTGACCGCAGAGGCATTTATTTCGTACGTTGGCAGGCCCACGAAGGATTTGCACCAATCAGATTTTATTTTATTTTATTTTATTTTATTTTATAGCCGCCGTTGAACAGCCGACCCAAATTTATGGGTTTATGATGTTCAACTCCACAGCCTTGTAATTTTGAACCCAATACAGAAGACAAGGGAACTCCTGAATCGAGTATTGGGAGAGATTTGCTTTCGTGGAGGACTTTTTGATGGAGCTAACCCGCATTTGCGTTACATGGAGAGGAAGACCACGAGAACCTTCCACGGTTAGCCTGACGAGAAGGGTACTCTATCCGTCTACCACTAAGGATATTTCACGTCAGTACTGTGGTCGGTGCACTGTGTTACTGTGAATGATCGAAATTGGTGGTTGCTTCTTCCACCGGTGAATGTTGACAGTCACATAGTCGCTTTGGTAAATGTCCGAAATATATACTAAGTCTAGTTATGTTCGGTACGATGTGACCGACCACAGATGTTTTTTTTAAGGTCCAGTGCCACTGGCGGGCATACATTTGCCCTGTATACCCCACTGTGATGTTTTTAAGGTTCAGTGCCACTGCCCGGCATACATTTGCCCTGTATACTATACTCTGATGCTTTTTTAAAGATCAGTGCCACTTCTCGGGATACATTTGCCCTGCATACCCTACTCTGATGTTTTTTTTAAAGTTCAGTGCCACTGCCCGGTATATATTTGCCCAGTATACACACACTACTCTGATGTTTTTTTAAGGTTCAGTGCCACTGCCCGGTATGCGAATTGACAAAACATACTGTGGATTGTAAAGGGTTGGCGAAAATTTCTAT